AAATCCTGCTAAAAATCTTCAATCTCCAGTAACACGGATTAACTGCCAAACCTGTGTAGAATCAGAAGACAATCAAAATTATAATAAGTTATAAAAGTAAGCTCCCAAATGAATCCAAAGAGTAATAATATTAGTTGATTTTCCAAGCAATCATCCGTGGACACACCACTACTATACTAAGGTACCACGTAAATGTGGGCAACACACGTGAAAACAAGCAAAATTAGTCCAAAGAAAAGTGTGTCGAATGAAAGTATAATCAAGTTAGCCTACAAGTGATGAGTAACAAACACACATCACAGAACTAAAAGTGTAGTAGCAGCAGTAGTTGGTTCAGCCATTGGTTCTGGACCAAACAAACAGTAAGTGCATGGGGCTAACCAGGCTAAAAGCTCTCTATTTTATGGCCTAGCAAACAAACATGAGATTTCTCAAAGAAGAAAGCAAACAAACATGATACAGACAAGTACTTGGTTTTTTTTTGTTGTGAGAGGAAGTTGTGCACCTGTACAGGTATTTAGTTTATCTGGATCAAACATTTCTGCACTCTAAAAGAAATGTGAACAAAAGTGAGAGAGACAGGCACTTAGTTTTTTTTTGTGAGAGGAAGCTGTGTGTGCGTGAACACGTACTTGGTTTTGGTTTTTCTGGATCAAAGTTTCTGTACAAGCGACCAGCTGAAAATTATGTAAAGAAAATTCAGCCAACATAGACACTGTACCACACCATTCCTTAACAAACAAGAATGTCAGTAAAGAAGTGACAGACTAACTTCAAGATAATTAACACAAACTGGGCATAAGCATAGGATAAGTTCAAATCAAAATATGTTATGTTGTGGACTATATTAACTCAATGTTTAAATCAAAATCGGCACCAGAGGATTTTTCATCTAACTTGATGCTTATGCTGCAGGTTCATCTCAAAGTGCCAACAAATACAGTACTAAACAATACTTGCTTGCCAAGTGAACTTCGAATGGCATGCTAAATATTAACAAAGAATATGATACAGCTTCACTGAGAGATCTCCCACACTAATAGTTTATTTGTGGAGTACTAAGTGGTATACTTGTTATTACATGAAAAATTCAAAATCTGTAGAAGCAGAATCAGAACCCATGAACAACAAGAGATAGCAACTCTAGTAGAGTATCAATAAAATGCATAATATCAGGGACATTGTACAATGCAGATTTATGCGCACAAAAATATCTGTACAGTTATAATTGTACTGGAACCACACAACAATCCACACCTTGAACAGCTCAAAGTCTACAGCCTGAATAATTCACATGAAGAATGGAAGGGTATCAAGCTCACCCTGTTCTGCTCGAGGACCGTGGCGTCGGCGTCGATCAGGTGGGAGATGCACTGACTATAATGTGCAAAGCAAAGATATTAGTGTGACAATTGGATAGGCGGTCTCATTTCATTATTACTGCAATGCAAATGTTGTCTCAACTGAACCAAATTCTTAAAGAACTATGCCTTCCCAAAAGTCTAAATTTACTAACTGAATTCTTAAAGAATTGATTCAATTGCATACTAACTGAACTAAGAAGGAACAATTTACAATGGGTAGCCGCACATTACTTTCCCTTTCTTCATGATGTACCTGAGGTTTCTCATGCATAAAGTAACAAGTATCTATTTACTACTTGGAATGAATGAACTAGCATTAGAAACCTGAAGTTGTGCAACACCGACCATCCTTTGGATATTGTAAGAAGAACATATTTTCCATCTTTGCATTGGTAATACTAAAACAAATATATTAGACACCATATTACTTGTCCTTGAAATGTGCCAACTAAAATGAAATACCTAGGCATCACCTGCCCAGGATGTCCTGTTCTCAATCATGCAAAGTACAAACTTACAGAATTCATGTGATATCTATCTGGTTAACCTTAGCTATGCTATCAGGAATCAAAAGTGACCAGTCACAAGCGAATGTTGCAAATAAATTTTGAGAATACAAATTCCAACAGTACACATGATTGTTATCAGTTCCACCAATACTCATGAACAACACACGAAATAAGATAAGCAGGAGATGTCGTAGCAGAGAGAACGGAGGTACAAGTGCTCACTGAAGAAGATCGTAGGCGATGCAGCGGCCGCAGTGCAGGTTGGCTACCACCGTCGCGCGGCAGAGGAGGCCATCACATGATGCACGGGATGCACGGCCGCGCCGGAGACGCGACAAAGGAGGTCGGGGTCAACGCCATACAGACCAACGCGCGCGAGCGCACCTAGCTAGGGGGAGCCACCCAGGGGTGGAGAGGGCGCGGTGTCCGATGGGGAGGAGCCGCCGGAGACGAGCCGGTGATGGACGTGACGCCGCAGCCGAAACCCTAGCCATAGGCGAGGGGTTGTGGGCGAGCGCCGGAGACCAGAAGTGGCGGATCCAGCCGGACCAGAGGATGGAGGGGTCGGAGACTAGCTCGTCTGTGTGCTGCGAGCTGGTGGACGTTGCCGGAATCGATGGTGTTGGTCGCAGCGTGAGGGTCGCATGAGACAGAGAGTTGGGTCGCGAGAGGAGTGGATGGGTGGGGGATGCAGCGGATCTGACAGCTGCCGGAGCTGTGATGTGAGAGAAGGGGAGGGGGAGGGCCAGCGGTGAGCTGTGGGAGGAGCCATGGGAAGAGGTGGTGGATGGCGGCGGTGGGGAATCGGGAGGGGGCTGTGTGGATGAGGGAAAGAGGAGAGGGACCGAGGGGGAGAGCATTAGGGTTAGCACTTTATATGGTGGTCGGTTAGGCGGGCTTTAGCGGGCTTAGGCGGGCTTGCGGGGCTGTACCAGGCTGTCCATGACAGTTTTTGAAATTGTCATGGCGAATCCGTCATGGATTAACAGGTTTTTTATAGTGAACATGTGTGTTATCATGGAAGAAGATTTTACAACTCAGATTATGTGGCAAAAAATCTTTGCAGCTTGGCTTTTTTTTTGCGAGATGGATGTTGTTGTGGAAGGCAATTTTGCAACATGCTTCCCCCCTCCCCTCACCCCTCCAAAAAAAACAGCAGACATGATGTTGTAGAAAAGAGACACGCAAAGGACACGCGTCACACATAAAAGGCAACGGATCACGATCCACCGGCTGAAGGCAAGTGTTTCCAATTTATAAGGATCTGGCAATAAATAAATCTTATAAAAAAATAATCCACTTAGACTAAAGCGGGTGTTGATCCTAGGGCTGGACCAAAAGCTCGTAGCTCGCGAGCTTAATGAACGCTCGATAGTTCGGTTCGTTAAGCTCGTAGCTCATTTTTTAATGAACAGAGCCAATCATTGAGTTTCACGCGTAGCTCGTTAAGCTCGTTAGTAACAACACAACACATATTTTCATCTTATGTGACAAACTTTTTGTAGCATCTCAGCCCATCTATTCAATCCAATCGACATATAAGGCAACAAACTGCTGCATTTTTTTGTAGTCATCATATTTCATCTTGAAAACCACCTACACATTCATCATGCATATCGCAACACATTATAATCTGTTAACGAGCTTCGAATGAGCCGAGCCAAGCAAGGTTTTCAGCTCGTTAAACTTAATAACAAGCTTAACGAGCCGATCCCACCTAGCCGTCGATGATTGGAATACGACGGGAGGTAAAAGACACGATGGGGATGACGCCTGCAGCCGTGCGTGTCGTCACGACTCACGACACGAGGGCGCACGGTCGCCTTCACCTTCACCTGTCCCTTGTCCTTGTGGTGGGGCCAACAAGAAGAGCCTGCAGTGCCAATCTCTTCGGTCTCTAGATCCCAAGGGAAAATAATAAAAGGAAAGAAACAGAAACCAGAGCATCGGCCGGCGGATAACCCCTGCCCAGCTCCCTCGCTCCGCCACGGCGGCGGATCTGGGAGACGCGGCTGCGCTCGGCTGGTTGATCGTGGACCGGCAGAGCCTCAGAGACCATCGATTGGAGGGGAGGGGAGGGGGTTGGGGGGCGGGGAAAACAGAGGGAGGAGAGGACCGGCGCGGCGGAGATCCATCGGGGGCCAGCAGCAGCAGCAGCCCAGGTTCCTACTCCCCGCTCTGAATCTGCTACTACTTGATTCCTTCGTCCTTGTCTCGCTAGCTGTTGGCTAGACTGCATGGAGAAGCTCCGACCTCCATTGCTAACTAGTCACGCATCACACAGAAGCTAACACCAGCGTGACTATAACTCTGCCTGCACAGTCAGTCCCTGCGCATAGTGATGCTGTATTATGTTGATATTAATAGCATACATGTGTTGCCATTCTGTTTTGAACATCTCAAACTTCTTAAAGATGTACTCCCTTCGTAAAGAAATACAAGAGCGTTTAGATCACTACTTTACTGGTCGAAACGCTCTTATATTTCTTTACAGAGGGAGTACGTAATAATTACAAGTAGTGGATGTAATGTGCTATGCTATTAAACTGTCTGATTTTTTTTTACGTAATAACATGCCAAACTGCAAAATTCGACCCAAACATACGTCGATTCGTGACATCCACAGATGAAAGAACAAACTGCATGATTTTCTTAGAGCGGGCAAGGAATTGTAACATACGAGCACATACTCCTTGGGTAAAAAAATAAACTGTGTGGCTACGAGCTATCGGCGAGAAGCCACTGTTCTAACAGTTTAGTCGTGTCATCCAGAAAAAGAAAAACAGTTTAATCCTGCTTCTGCCAATGGCACATTCAATCCAATCTTTATCAATATGTTGATAATTTAGTTTCGCCAACAAAAATGTTGACAATTTATCTGTGTAATTGAAATTTTGTACTGTATGTTGAAATGCAGCGTGTTTCTGTGCTTACAACCAGCATCTCTGGAACCTTGTGTGCAGTGCACTGTCATGTTTCTTAATCAGCGCCCGTTCTTTTTTCCTTTTTTTAATTAGCATCCACGTCATCCTTCTAATGTTTGTCTTTGAATTCATGGCCTCTCGCAGATCAGAAGCTGCGATCCGCAAAACTAAGAAAGGCCTGTTGTTGTGTTTGTGCCTCCGCCATGTCTGTGCATCAAGGTTGGGCAGATCTACCAGATGTCCTGCTTCATTCCATCATTGCTCTGACAGGCTCCTTCTCCGACCTCCTTGCCTTGGCTTGCACCTGCCGCTCTTGGCGTGAGGCCTTCTTCTCTTTTCCATCAAAGTCTGCCTCCTCGACGATCTTCCCGCCTGTGCTCCTGCAACCTGATGTCCCCGGGCGCTCTCCATGTCACCACCCCTTTGGTGATAAACGTCCATGTCAGGTCATTGATCCAGCCAGCCAACACTCGCGCCTTTGTTGTCAGATTCCCTTAAATCACCTTTCTCGTTGCCCCCAGAGTCCTCTCGGTAGCTTTTGCTTCCTGGGTGCTTCTTATGGCCATCTCATCTTCTCCAGCAACAGATCATGTCTCGTTGTTGATGCATTTACAGGTGTTAGTTTTTCACCACCACAGATTCCGGGTGACGAATTCACTGAGGTCTACTACGGTGCCCTCACGGCTCCTCTAGCGTCACCCAACCCACATCTCCTTGTCACCAACGGATCTCACAGTTACTTTTGGCGTGTTGGTAGTCACTCTTGGTTGAGAGCTTGTCCTTGCGATGGAACGGTCAAGCAGATCGTCACCTTCAAAGGCCAGGTCTTTGGCATGGACTCTGGTGGCATGCTCTTCGTTATGCACTTGGTGCCTCGGATTCGCGTACGGATGATGGGAGTCAGTTGGGGGGAAATCTCCACGCGTCATCTTGCCAACCTATACCTGGTTGCGTGTGGCGATATGCTTCTCTTGGTCGGGTGTCGGGGGTCGTTTCCGGCAAGAGGGGATTCCTTCGAAGCCTTCCGCCTTGACCAGTCGACCGAACATGCAAAGTGGGTGAAGGTGGAGGAGTTGAAGAATTGGGCGATCTTCATCAGCACTGACAAGAGAAGCCAACCATTATCCTTCATGAACCCGGAAAGGTGGGGAGGGAGGAGCAACTGCGTGTACTACTATTCCCATGATTCTGAACACTGGGCTGCATTTGAGTTGGGAAAGCCTGCCTCCAGCCGAAACAGCTTTGTTTTCATAAGCTCTAGCAATGTAGTGCAACCTACGTGGGTTGTCCCTAGCATGTTCTCCCAGTGTGGTGATGGTTGATGATGATAATGCTTTCCTTGGTTTAGGCATCGGCTATTACTGCTGGCTGGAGCAACTGAGCAACTTCCGCTGTAAGAGTGTGTAAGAATGTGTTCTGAAACATCGGTAGGGATAATTATGTAATTATGTTTGTCATTACTCTGCTGGTATAATTGGAGCATGGCAATATTTTGTACTCAATTTCTTGCCTGATGGTTCAGAATTCATGGCAGTGTTGTGAGGCACTATTAATGCACTGATGCTCTGTTTTTTGTACTCAATATTTTGCTTTGCTGCTTGTGCCCAATTTTGTGCTTCAAATCCTGAACTGGTTACTGGAACTGTCAATTTCAGTGTGCTACACATCGGTGATTTTGAATGTTTGATTTTGGATGTTCCATTCATGTGCTTTTGTTTCGAACATCTCAATCCTGATTTCTTCAAATTCTGCCAAATCTGAATGCCTTGTCTCCAAAGAGTCCCGTACGTTAATGAAACATACATGAAACATGCATTGGTTGATTGGTGTACAATGGCTGTGGGTTGTCCCCACTCCCCAGCACGTTCTCCTGGTGTCTGTGTTTGCTGAAGGTGTTGATGCATATGTGTGCTGTTCGATTATCTGGAGAAGAGCAACTTCTGCTGTAAGAATTTTCTGAGGATATTTCTGAGTGTAGAAGAGCAAAAATTATGTACAGAGTAATTATTCTAGCACTACTAGAACTGTTAATTGGTACATATTATTTATTTACTTTGGAAGATGACTGCTAGTTCTAAGTGAGCTGATTTTTAGTGTTAATTTTTGGTGTCAGAAGTTATGATTTTGGGCCTAGCATTTGGTTTGAATGCGAATTGCCGCCTCTGTCCCAATTCTAATTTCTTCGGATTTTTTGCCCTTGTATTTTTAGAATCGTCCCACTGTTCATCAATCCCGGTGCTGAGACTATAAGCCAGGTTCCGGCATTGCTAGCCTTTACTGAAAGCTAACAGCATGACTCTTACCATCTTGTTTCTTGATATCAAACTGATTATCAATAGATCAGTAAGCAGGCAAGTGAAGGTTTTTTGTTTTTTGATAGGACAAGCAAGTGAAGGTTACTCCTAACTGATTAGCAGCAGTGAACTGAGAGCTTTTTGTTACTACAGAATTCGAGAGATGCATCCATGGGACTTATTCTAGCTGTTAATTCTACCACGGTGTCTAGCAGTCTGAAACTACAGGCCCGTCTGATAATGAATTGTTTCTTATTGTGGGTCCTAGGCATTACATATTTGCATGTAAAATATATAATTTTAGATGTTTTCATTTTTATATATGTTTATTACAGACCGACAAAACACTTCACTTGTTCCAACTTCTATTGAAATGTAGCATAAGGTCACTGAAAGTAAGTAAATACTACAGTAGTACACATTGATTATTAATGAAGCAAACTGAGAGCCTGTGACATACTGTACAGTACATTGGTGAGAGCTCGGCAGGCCACTGCAGAGCGATGATGTTCGCTGAAGGTGTTGATGCATATGACGCGGAGCAACATGCGCTATAAGAATTTCCCGAGCATGATTTCGAGTGTAGAAGAGCAAAAAATAGTATGTAATTATGTTAGGATTACTAGATCTGTTAATTCCTACTTATATTTATTTATTTTGGAAGATGGCCGCTAATTCTAAGTGTTGATTTTTTTTGGTGTTGCAGCAGTTTTGATTTTGATCCTTGCATTTGGTTTGGATGTGAATTGCCTCCTCTATCCCATTTACAATTTCTTTGAATTTTTCGCCCATTCTGAAGATGGTGTCTGCAGAGTGCCAGAAGTCCCACTGTGTTCATCAATTGCAGTGTTGAGTGCTCGACTATAATTGCATACAGCTTTGACATCGCCAGCTTTTACTGAAAATTCTATCATCTTGTTTACTGATAATAAACTGATTATCACTAGGTCAGTAAGGGCAAGTATAATAGGGGGGCATAAGTTGGCTATAAGAGGTGCCACATCAGATGATCCTACTGATTAGCAGCAGTGAACCGAGAGCCTTTTATTACTACAGGCTTCGAGAGATGCATCCATGGGATTTATTCTTCTACTAGCTAGTAATTCTACCATGGATAACTAACTTAGTTGTTGCTGCCGCCGTTGGCATGGGTGAGGTCCATGGCGGGTCTCTCCACGTCCTCCATCTCCTCTCGGACGAACACCGCCTGGTCCAGCACCGACGCTGACCCGCCCACGCCTCCGTACAGGTGCTGCGGTGGGGCGGGATGCGCGCCCCCGCCGTGGCCGTCATCGGCAGGGACGAAGACGCCCGTGTCCTGGTCGGGCACCCACGATGCGTCCTCGCCGATGGTCTCGTCCGGCAGCACCGTGGCGACCTGCTCCTCCTCGCCCTGGAGCACCTCGACGTTCTTGCGGTTCAGCGCGGCCTCCACCTGCGCCCCGGTCATCGCCTCCGCCGCCGGACCATGGGCGTCCCCGCGCTCGTCCTCACGCTGCGCGCTGGCCGAGGAGTGGTTCATGCTGGCCCCGCTCCTGAAACAGAAACACACAGGATCGATCGATGCTGCCATGAATGAGTGGTAGTTCTACTTCTAGTTCTTGGCGGCAAGAACAGAAGGTGGCAACGCAGAGCAAGCCGCAGAACAAAGCTGGTTACCTGGAGGAGGCGAGAAAAGGCGTAGGCCTGGTCTGGCTCTGGCCGGCCACCCGGCGGCCGGCAGCGGTCAGCGCTCGTGCAGCCATGGCCGAAACGGCAGAGCAGCTCTCTCTCAGATCGGTGGAGTTCCTTTCCCTGCTCTTGTGAGCTCAATACAGAGCGAGAGGGGACAAAGCAGAGCAGGAGCAGTACGAGTACGAGTTTGAGCTTATCCGCTGTGTGGTCTGGGCCTGCCGCCTGAGATCGAGTTTTTCGTCGCTCCCCTGAACCTCGGTGAGCGGTGGCCTATTTATTTACTTCTATCAATGCAGCAATGCCGGTGCGGGACGGCTAGTGGCGTGGCAACACGCGGCACGGCGCCATTGACGAGACAGGGTAGAGCAAAGCAGATGGTCGGTGAGGCTGGTCATAGTGGGAGTAACATAAGTAGTAACATAGATGCCATATAAGCATAAGTGATGATGTGTCAAGTAGTTAATGAGGAGAGAGACAAATAGAGTAACATAATATGTTACCATCACCTAGCGGTTCCCAATGCTAAATGAGTCTATGAAGTAATAAATGAAGTGATGCATGACACTACATATATGTTACTACCCACTATAGTGGTAGTAACATAGCCTAGTAACATATACATGTTACTAGTCTAAGTTACTCCCCACTATGACCAGCCTGATGGATGGATGCGGTGGAAGGAAAAGAAGGGAGAGGAGACACGCACGCACGCACGCCGCAGCTGCATGCAACCGCCCTTTTCGTCGGACAAAGACGCACGCAAAATCTCCGCTTTTATTTCAGCACTGGTGCTTTTCTGGGGACGTTTTCAACATTTTCTTTTTTCCTGCTCCCCCGTTTATAAAATGTAAGGAGTATCATTTTTTCCAAATTGAAACTTATTTATGTCTGTTTTTTTAACACAGTATAAACGCAAATGCCCATACATACGCATACACTCATCCGTATGCTCTAACCCTATGAGCACCCTACGAAAGACCGAGCCATTACATTATTTTAAAATTAACAAAATCATCACAAACACCTTTATAGCAGCATTAGTGTGCCAAAGTTATATTCTAAAGTGTGACGGTGACGAGCTGATGAAGTGGTTACTTTCTGGTCGGTGCATGCTTCCTTCTCGGTTTCTCTAAAGAAAAATTAACCTTCTCCGTTCCCTACGAAGCGGGCCATGTACTAGCCGCGTGGAGCCTGTCATAGGCTGACACGTACCTGTCCTCTTTGACAGATTCAGCGAAAAGAAACCGCACCCAAACCTGATTCATCGACACTCGACAGCAAACCACGAAACAACATTGATGCAAAAGCTAATCGGAGCAGAGGCAGCCGTCAGATCTCCCGGAAAAGGATGGATTATCCTGCGCATTTTCTATGTAGCAACATTTTACCAAGTCTTCAAAAAAGAAAAAGGATAAGCAAGTCTTTTGACAAAATTTCTTCATCTGTGGAGAAGAAAGAGAAGAGTAGCCTCTCGAGATTAGCCATGAGACCTTTCTGGCTCCTCAGAGTATTTAACTAAAAACTACCACAATTCATGAAAACGTGTCGAAAAACTATCACTTTACGATTTTATGCCAAAAACTATCATTTTTATTCTAATCTGTTGTTAAAAACTACCAAATGTGAAAATTGCTCGCTTTGACTGGATTAAACCCGAATCTGACTGCCCGACCCCAGTGTTTAGGTGCCAGCGTGGCGAAGCGCACATGGCCAGCCGTTAACGCCGCCTGTACACCGGCTAGATGCAAGCCAGATAATGGCCATAGTCTGCCGTGGCTGGATCGGAGGCGAGACCAGTTGCGCCGCCCCTGCGGGCTGCTCTGCCTCGCTGCAGCTCCTCTCCTGCCACTCAGGACTGTTGCCGCTGCGTGCCGCTCACCTCCGACCCCGTGGGTCGTTGTGGCCTGCAGCTCCCCGTCAGCTCCAGCCCCATCGCTCCTCCGTCCAGCTCCGCCCTTCGTCTTCGCCAAGTTCACGCACGACCGGCTCCGCCTGCCCCGGCAGTGCTGCTGCTCCTCCCGCGGGTGCCGGCTCGTCCCTGCTGCTCCTTCCGCTGACCGGCTCCCGCGCTGGCCAGCTCGCGCTCGCATCCCGACCCGCGAGCATCGCCTCTGCTCCGTGCCGGCTCCAGTCCGCGCCGCCCTGGCTCTTGAGCGCCCGCTCGTCCGCCGTCTCACTCCGGTACAGGCGCCTCCGCGCTCGCCCTCGGCAACTCCGCGCGCCCGCTCATTCCCGTCGCCGACTCCGGCCGGCCCGGCCTCCAGCGCTGCCCCGCTCCGACGGCTGTTGTGCTGCCTCGCACCGCTCCCGTCTGGCCGCGCGCCCGCATGCCGGTTCCGGGCGCCGTCAGCCGGCTCCGCCCCGCGCGCCGTGCTGGGTCCTCCGCTGCCGGCCTCCCGCGCCCTCCGCGCAACCCGGCCTGGCCGGCTCCGCGCCTCGGCCGTCTTCGAGTTGGCCCGGCCTCCACCCGGCCCGCCGGCTCCGCTCGCGCCGTCTTCCCCATCACCGACCTCCATGCTCCTCCTGACGTGGCTGCTTGACCACGAGCTCCAACACGGCCGCCCCGAATCCGCCTCCCCCGGACCTCCCCGCCGCCCCGCTCGCGCAGGAGCGCCGCCTGCAGGTCGCGCCGTCTCCTGCAGATCCGGACGCACCGCCGTAGTAGTTCATCTTCTCCGCCTTCGGTGAAGGCCGCCGCCGTCTCGATCTCTTTCTACGGTGACGGCAAAGTTAACGGTGCTGACTTTTTCCGTCCTGACATGTGGGCCACACTATCATAAACGAGCCAAAGCGAGCAGTTTTCATACTTGGTAGTTTTTAGCAACAGATTAGAACAAAAGTGGTAGTTTTTGGCACAAAATCATAAAGTGGTAGTTTTTCGACACGTTTCCATGAATTGTGGTAGTTTTTGGTTAAATACTCGGCTCCTGATGATGATGTAAAAAAAGTTTAGCCTTGAGATGCTAGCTATCAAGTGAGCTAAAGGCACAGCAGCTGTACACCAAGAGGACATCTGGATCCTACTCTACTACAGAGCTAGAAGAAAGGTCAGAAAGATTCTAAAACATACAAATCCTTTCTTTCAAGGCACATATTCGGATGCTGCGACAAGATGAGAGTGAAAGTTAACACATCATGTTCATCCATGCAAAGGTGGCAAAATACGCTTCAGGTTCTGTTCAGTTTAGTTCAGACAACATAATAGCACCTGTCCATGTGCTACTTGCTGGTGAAGTTCCATCAGAAAATGGAAGGGTATTTTGTTTGTTTGGCTGAGAGTTGTGCACCAATCCGAGCTTCGTACTCATCTTAAGCAAACTCTCAATTTAGTACTCCCTTCGGTCCTTTTTAGTTCGCATATTAGATTTGTCTGAAGTGAAGCCTCGTAAAGTTTGATCAACTTTATAGAAAAAATACCAACATTCACAATGTGAAATCAATACTAGTAGATGCGTCATGATTTGAAGTTTCATGTTGTATAACTTTATCATGGTAGATATTGATATTTTTTCATATAAATATGGTCAAACTTTGTAAAGTTTGACTTCAGACAATTCTTATATGCAGAGTAAAAAGGACCGGAGGGAGTATCAGCAAACGGAATGTGTTGTGAAAAGGAAGAAACATAAATATAATGACTGTGTTCCTTGTATTTAATAAATTGTAGTAGTAGTAGTAGTAGTAGTAGTAGTAGTAGTAGTAGTAGTAGTGATAATTTGGGCAATCCACCCAAGTTATGTCACCCTCCGTTCTTAAATATAAGTATTTTAAAGATTTTAATATAAACTACATACGGATGTATATACACATAATTTAGAGTGTAGATTCACTCATTTTGCTCAATATGCAGTTTATATTGAAATCTCTAAAAGACTTATATTTAGGAACGGAAGGAATAAGTCATAGTTTTCATGAAAAGTGTCAAAAAATGATTAGGGGTTATTTAGATGTAAGAAGCAGCAACATGTCCAATCATCTTGACGGGGTAAAAAATGACACGGAGCCTCATGATTCAAAAGTTCGCAACAAAAGGGGAAGTTGAACTTGAGGAAAGCGAAATCTCCAAGGGTCTAGGCACACTGGAAGCAAGCAGTTCAAACTTAAACACCATACGGCCGTAGATCACTTAACTTCACAGGAAGGACCATTCCGGGTGAATTGCGGCGATTTTGGAATGATGAGAGAAGTCAAGCAGCATAACTTCGGCTCACATACCAGCACCTCTCGGCCGACCTCCTTGTGGACCACGGCATTTCATTCCAGCGTCAGACGTAGTTCATCACCAGACGATGAAATGAACACAGTTATTTTGTTAATCAACCAAAGCGAATGCAGTAATCGAGAAGATTTATGTTCATATGTACAGGTTTCAAACAGCCACTTGTGAGGCCTCCAACAGCTAAGCTGATTTTTGACAAACTTCCTTGGAACAACTTGTCCTAGTTCTCAAGTATGTCAAAAATGATTGACGCACCCATGTTACTGTAAATTCCAGTAAATGCATAGTAATACAGCACAGTACGACGCATCAGTTTAGTGGTAGAAAGACATATTAAGGCGGATGCTGTTTTGGTTTAGATTTTCTAAGCTTGTTTTGGTAACCTTGTCTTGCTTTAGTGGGAAAAACGCAACCGATTAAACTCAATATTCTTTTAAAATAGAGAACCTGAATATAAACTTAATTTTGAAACCAAATCATTTTTCAACAAAAAAAGGCAATAGATAAAATTAAACTTTGTACTAGCGTTACACATGTGTGCTTAGTCAGTTACTAGGATGGTTTATTGCGTAACTAAAATTTGTATCTTTAAAATGTAGTGTGTTTCCATGGTTATAAACAATACAACGATCTCCATGAACTATCACGTCATCTCCAGCGTGGACCCTCAAACCGCCCACATAGGCCCGGACCCTGGAAGCCATCCAACGCGGCCATGTATCCGTCCGC